AAAGAAAGAAAGAAAGAAAGAAAGAAAGAAAGAAAGAAAGAAAGAAAGAAAGAAAAGAAAAGAAAGGAAGGACCCCCTGCTAATTAAGTTATGCTAAGGCACTGATATGCTTATCTTAGAATTCACAAAAGATTATATATCATAAGCTGGACTCGTGACACCCTTGTGCTGTCTCAACCTGCACAACTGCACACAGCAGCTCTAATGACGTGCACTGAAAAGCTAAAGGGCCACTGAATAGCTTACCCCTGGGTCCTGTCTATGAGCTTTCTGGTTTCTTGAGAAGAGCTAGTCCTTCTCTCATCTTTCTGTGAGCCAGGACTAAGAAAAGACACCATAGAGGAAAATGTGGACATCATAGAAGAGACAGCAGTATCAGGTGGTGGTTCCTGGGTCACCCACAGGGATCCTGAGTGTTGCTGGATCAAGAGACCAGCCACACCCACGTGCATAGAGGTCCAGGGAGGTGGCGGCATTGGCTCGCCACTATACAGCAGTAAGGCAGCACTGAGCCAGGACGGGGCCCAGGCCTTATGCCCGCCTTCAGTGCCTTCTGGGAAAACCCCTGCCCCTGGTGCAAATGAGTTAGAGACAGGGTCTCAGAACCTGCCCCTTCTCCTGTCTCATCCCTCCCCCCACCAAGGCCTGCCCCAGAGAAAAGCACCCTTATTCGATTCACAAGACTTTTAAATTTTATTAGTAAAATACAAAATGACACAGACATTGGTTAATGGTGCTTGAAAAAGCTGAAGGACTCACCAACTCCTTCCAAAGTTCTCCCCAGACTGTCTCGGCCCACATCCTGCTGAGAGGAACCAAACAGTCCCACGGGGGGTGTCCCAACCCTTGAAGGCTCCCCAATGAAGGAGCCAGGACATTGTGCACTCAGGCTGCTGATCCTCAGGACTACACTGAGTACCCTGGAGACAGACCACAGCCTCCTACAAGCTTCCCAGGAGGGAGGGTCGCCAAGGGCTGCTTCACTCTGGGAAACAGCCAACTCTTCCGGGCTTCCACCTGCCAAGGAGTGAGTCACTGGCTTCTGGGTGAAGCCCTGCCCATGGGAGGCTCCAAAGTTGGAGGGTTGGGCTATGGGGAGAGCTGCCACCAAGGGCCCTGAGGGCGAGGTCTGCAGCGCCAGCTGGGGTGCTGCTCAGCTGCTCCCTGCTTCCAGTCACCTTGTGCCCAGGGCAGGGTCCCTTCCGGAAAATTTCACAGGGCTCTTGGAGTCTGGCTCTGCCTACAGTGGGGCAAAGGTGAGACCTTGATGGGAACAGCACTTTCAGAGGTGGGAAAGGATCCGGCCTCTGAATGATCTCGGCTGCGTCCATGCACGTGCAAGTCCCTAACTGAAGTCAGTTGTGTAGCGGCTCCTGGGGCTAACCCTGATCCTCTGCCTCCCGGGGGGGCTTGTCACCCTCTTCCTTCTGCGGCTTGTTCTTCAGGCAGGGCAGACCTGTGGCTGTAATCTTGGGGGGCAGGGTAGGGGTGCCTTCTGAGTTGGCCTGTTTTTGCACATCAGCCTCCATTTGGGGGCCTACAGGGTAGGATCTGTACTCTCAAGTCACCCCTTGCCAGCCCTCAGAGTCCCAGGGTGCAAAGGTGTCACTCCAGTGGGATGGCAGTGACTGTTATTGTTGATAAGGGTGGGGGCTGCATCCAGGAATGAGGACAAGGACCTCAGGGAGGGTGATACCAGGGTCACTGCTGCCTCTGGGCCACACTTCTTTTCTTTTACAGGTGGGGCACTTTGTTGTTCAGGTAGCTGAGTGGGGACTAGACCCTTCCTTCAGACACAGCATGCCTTCAGGGCACAGCGAAGTCCAGGGAGGAACGCTTTGAAGCCTCACGCACGCTCGTCCCCCTTCCCAGAGAGCTCCAGGAAACACAGCTTAACCTCATGCAAGAAAAGACACGACATGGTGTTGATGGTGACGGCGGTGTGCTCTGTACAGGGGACAGGGAGAGATAGCACCGCAGCTGGCCGGGGAGAAAGGAGGGCTGGCGACTGCAGCAAACACAGGAGACGAGAGGAGGGAAGGGGGACAGGCAGATAGGCCTGGCCTGCTGCTCGTGAGATGGGTGGACCATGGTGCTCACAGGAAACAGGCTGGGAAGTCAATAAATAATTGTTCGCTGGGGTTGGGATGTCAAGGGGTCCCTCTGACCAGCCAGCAGCAGAGGAGTCTTTTGAATACAGGGCAGCTGGAAGGCCACCAGCTGTCTCTGATAAGGGAGTCATGGTTAATGGTGGCCTCCAGGGCCACAACTTGGGGCTTGGAGCACATGGCCCCTGGAGGATCCAGCCTCCCCATTCCCAATTCCCCTGCGTGGGTGAGGGTGGGTATGAGGATGGGGGTCCCCAGACAGCTGTCTGAATCAAACTATGGACGTGGGCAAGCGGGCAGCTCACACTGGCACCAGGACATATGAGTTACTGCCACAGCTACGAGGGACATATCGGAGGCCTTCTACCACCTCCCCTGCCATTTTGCGGGAACAGCCCTGGAGGCTCTGGTAGGCAAACATGGCCACCCCCAGACAGAAGAGTAGGCCAAGGAAAGCCAGTAGCCCCACTGCCTGCCTTCGGGTGGCTGCCTGGGAGTCAGGGACGGGAGTGATAAGCACGCTCAATTTCTGGGGATCTGCCGAGGCATGGATGGGCTCCTCTACCTTGGGAGCCTCAGTGCCTGAGGCCACCAGCTCTGGGCTGGGGGTCCCTTCAGAGGACATGGGGGCCATTGAAGGATGGACTGTGTTGCCAGGCCCCCTGTCCTGGAGAGCAGGAATGGTCTCCTCGAGCTCTAGAGACTTCTCTGGACTGGGGTCTTGTCCCTGGACCCACTGGTGCTGGCCTTCAGACCCAATATTCTCCTCCGGGGTTGAATGTGAGGTGGTGGGCACCTGGGTAGATGGGGCTGGAGTGGAGGGGGCCTCAGTAGCCTTTTCCTCAGCCCCGAGGCTAGATCCAGATTGGTAGACAGCAGAACTCTGCCAAATGGTGGTAGAGATGGCAGCCCCCTCAAAAATTCCAGTGCTTTGAGGTGAGGCCACAAGCCCTGCATCCTGAGCCTTGGGAGTTGAGGGAGATGATCCAGTCACTGCTGCTGGTGGCTCTTGGGAAGTCCCCACGGGCCTCCGGGCCTCCTGGGAAATAGTGGTCAGCTCCAAAGTAAGGCCTTCCACCGTGGCTTCAGGCTCTGCCAGTGCAGATGGGGACAGTCCCCTGGTGGCCGGGGTCATCCTAGGTGTCACATTGTTGACCCACTTCTCAAACTTGCCACCATTTTGAGTCGGGGCAGAGGCCTGGCGGTCCAGATGTTTCATGGCGTCTTGGACCCATTTCTCCTTTGGGTCAGCACAGAAGATTTTGTGCTGTCTCGTCTCCAGGCTATAAGGAAGAGAGGGGCTTGTGATGCCCAGATTCTAAGCAGCCAGGCTGGTGTGGTGTGGGGGCACTGTCCACATGCCCTGCAGGCCAGACGTCCTGGCTTGCTTAGCATGAGGCTTTGGGCCACACCATTCCGTATGTCTCCCAGCCCTTAGCTGAGACACGAGTGCCTGCGGTCTGGAGGGAAACCCATCACCTCAGATGAACTGTAGCTTCAGGCACTCTCAGCCCAAGGGACTTCCCCTTTCCAAACTAGGAAAGTCCCAGGCAAATGGGGACCCTGCTTCTGTGATATTGCCAAGCAAAATAAAGGGTAAGCTGTCTAGAGAACGCACTTGAGTCAGAGCATGCGCACTTGAGTCAGAGCATGTGCTGTAACATTTAGAGATAACCACTGTGATAACCACTTCACTACCACCAAGACAAGGGGCTCTGGACTCTGATCTCCTGGGAAAATCGCCAGGTATGTGACAAGGTGGGTTTCCCAGCTCTGGAAAGATCCCGTGAATAAGATCCCTGTCCCACGGTGATGGCTGTTCCCTGGATCCCAACTTCCTCCTCTAGGGTTTGTCCTTAGGCTCAAGCAGCTTTTCAGAGCTGAAGCCATATGGTATCCTCACGGGGATCTTGAGTGTGGTCTATATCTAGAGCTTATGGCTGCTTCTCCCCAACAGCAGCTCGGGACTGGAGCCTCTGCAGCTCACACAGTCTGTACCGCAGCCCCTGTGCTAACCCCATCCAACAGGCGGGGAGATGAGGCCGACAAGTAAAGAATCGTGCCCACCAGGGTGTGCTGGGAAGCCCAAGTGTGTCATGTTCGTCTCTTCCACTTTCCTTAGAAGACAGAAGCAAGTATTTGCAGGATATCTAGAGGAATCAATCCTTGCCGGGGTAGCAGAGAGGGCGGCCAGGAATTGAACCGCGCTCTTTGGGGGAGCTGTTTAGGGGACAGGAAACGCTGGACTTCCGCTAGCAGAGCCGGAGTTAAAAAAGGGCACTGCTCATTTCCTGAGTGGCTGAGGCTTCTCAGGGGGTCACCCGGCAGTCCTGGGGAAGGGACTCAGGACTGAGAAAATGGGCAATACTTACCACATGCCTCTTAAGGAGCAAGGGACCAAACCGGCCAGGTAGAAATGACCGACTGGGCCTGTTTCCTTCCCAGAGGCACTGAGGGCTCTGCTCTTCTGTTACTTGGTGATGGCCATTCTTGTGTCTTTTGTTTCAAGTGTTTTGCCCACCATTTTAAACCCCCCCCCCCGCTCCTCTCACCCTCCTGCTGCCCATATCTCCCAGGTAAGGTAACTGAGGTGTAGAGGTATGAAGTGACCAGGGCCCTTGGCTGACCTGCTGGAGTCTGGGTCCCGCTCTGGCAGGCCACTTTGCTCAACCTCCCCATGGGATCTAGGGGGCTGAGGGCTGTGTTAACAGGACCGTCCTGGGTGTTGCCCTGGACACAACAGTGGACCGTCCAGGAAGGCATTCCCCACCTCTGTTGTTTGCCACTGATCTTAAGGTTAGTGAAGGAGCCTGTGGGCCTGAAACAAGGGGGGTGCTTGCCAAGAAGCCCGGGGTGAGGCAGGCAGGAGAGAGCTGGGATGTCCCAGGACCTTCTGAGGCCGTGAGTGATACCTACATGATGGCGCGTTTGCCGCAGGATTCCTGGTTCAGCTCGTAGTGGATGAGCAGAGCCACTGGGATTGGTGAGGTCATCTTCTGGCAGTTGACTTTGCATTTCGACAATCCGAGGTGCTGACCTGAGTCCACAGAGGCCCCCAGTCAGAAGGACCCCTGGGCATCTGGTGACCCACCCCCATTTCAGCTTCTTCAGGCTATTCCCCCAGCCAGAGCCCTTGACCCACATCTGAGTCGTCCCTTGATACTGTGACAAACAGCAAAGAGTCTCAGCCTTTGGGGTTGTTTTGAGCTGATAAAAATAAACCTTTATCTATAAACCTCCTTTTGTCTGGCACCTAGGAAGCATTTAATTTTGTTGTTGTTGTTTTTTCAAGACAGGGTCTATGTAATTTTGGCTGTCCTGGAACTCATTAAGCAGACCAGGCTGGCCTTGAACTCACCGAGATCCACTTGCCTCTGCCTTCTAAGTGCTGGGATTAAAGGTGTGGACCACCATGCTTGGCTAGGAAGCATTTAATTTTTAAAATGGAATCACAGCAGGGGAGAGGAATCTGAGGGAAACACAGATGTGTCGGCCTGTGTTTGGAATAAGGAGTTCAGGAGAAAAGCTGAGGGAAGAGTAGGGAGAAAGGGCATGCAAATAGCCACATAGCAAAAGCCCTTGGGCAAGGGTTTCTGTGAGTGGATAAACCCAGCTATTTGATAAAAACATGTCACATTCTTTACTTTCTATTTCTGTCAGTCCCCTTCTAATTCTGTGATTCTCAATCTTCCTAATGCTGTGATCCTTAATCCAGTTTCTCAGGTTGTGGTGTTACTTCATAACCATAATTTTGCTGCTGTTATGAATCATGATGTAAATATTTTGATATAGATGGTCGTAGGTGATCCCTATGAAAGGGTCATTCAACCTCCAAGGCGTTGCGACCCACACGTTGAGAACCTCTGTTCTAAATCCCCAGCACAGAGTCCTGCCATCTGCCCCATGTGTATTCATGAAAATTAGAGAGAAAAAAAAGAAGAACAGCTCAGTTCTAGATTTGGGTAAAGGTTATGTTTTCTCATCCTTTAAGACCTAGGAGCCTAGGTCCTCCAGAGCACCTATGAAAACACACTGTGTGTGCACAAATACTTTCACACATATGGGCGTGCAAACACACTCCATCTTGCCAAGAATGGACACAGGATGCTAGGTGGAGCTCAGGGATACAGTGTTTTCCTGGCATGCATGAGGCCGGTTGTCTTAAAAAAGAACTAGCCAGAGGCAAGCACACACCCAGACTTTGCCCCATCACCCCCTGGCTATGAGCCACCCCACCTTGTGGGGAAAGGAAGCTTGGGCTACAGGTCTGGGCTAGGTTGTCAAATGGCCAGCATTAGAAGCTCCTGAACTCATTGATTGAGTTACAGTGTCGTCTTCTTTCCTTGCAAGAACCAGGAAATGAAAGTCACAGTTCAGGGCTGGGGGAGATGGTTCATTAGCTAAAGTATTTGCCGCACAAGCTTGAGGGCCAGGGGGTTTGATTCTCCAGGACTCATGCAGAAAAGCAGGCATGGTGGTATGTGCTTGTAATCCCAGCACTGGAGAAGCAGAAATAGGTGTATCCTTGGGGCTTACTAGCCATGCCAGTAGAGCCCAATCAGTGAGCTCCAGATGCAGGGCAAGAAACTCTGTCTCAAAAACAAGCTGGGTAATTCCCAAGGAACAGCACTGGGGTTGCCCCTAGCCCCCCTACACACACACACACACACACACACACACACACACACACAGCCTCCCCAAAAATCACAGTACAGACTTGTCACCCTCCTATCCCCAGCAGAACTAAGAAACTAAGAATAACTTAGCGGCTTCCCTCATTCCCAAGGCCCTGGTGTCAGTAGCCACTCCTGCATGGGTCTGGCAGAAATCTTCCTGGAGAAGCCCTCGGGTGACCTAAGATAGGAGGAGGAAAAGGAGGCTGTGTGGCAGGGAAGACCCTAATTAGGATAGAGAAGACCACTGCTACCTGCAGAGTTGTAAGGGCCACAAAGCCAGCCTCTGCTATAAGCCACAAAGCCCTTGGCTGGGATCAGAACTTGGTTCTGTCACTAACTGGGGGAGGCCTTTCCCTTCTTCAGGCCAAAGTTCTAGAAAGGGAGGCAGGGCTTCTGTAGCAAACCATTTACTGCCTGCCAACTGAGTCAGGGGATTCGAGCTGCGTTTGCGTCTGCCGTGGTGCCACCGTGTATCTTGGCACTGACCACAACATGGGTGCTCAGTAACTATTCATAAAACAAATATTTCAATCTACTTGTCCCTCCTTTAGATATATCCACTCACCATGGCACACATTTACTCATCCATCCATCCATCCGTCCGTCTGTCCATCTGCCCACCTGTCCATCCACCCATCTTTTTACCCTCCTACTTTCCTCCTTTCTCCTAGCTACCTTCTTCTTATTCCTACTCATCCTCACCCATCCATCTACCTACCCTACTCACCCACCTGCCCATCTGTCACTCTTTCAAAGTCTCACCCACCCATCAGTGTCTTTTCACCCACTGCCTGTCACCAATCCACTCACCAGTCATCCATCTGTCCATCCATGCATGCATCTATGCAGCCATGCATGCATGCATGCATTCCCTGAGTCAGCCAGCACTGGCTTTAATTACTTCCGAATCTATACACAGCCTAGAGCCCTCTTGTACGTGCTGGTGTTTGGAGTGATCACGGTTTACCGAGGCAACCAAGTGCTGGCTCCCTGTGCTTGCCAGGCCCTCATCTAGGTGCTGTGAGGCATGGGAAGGTCTACAGGCAGGTAAGAAGATGAGGTGCTGTGACTGTGTTTCAGATCCCCTATTCAGCGCACTCGCACGCGTGCACACACACACACACACACCTGCTCTTATTATCCTCTTCTCACAGATGGATGCAGAAGCTGAAGATCAGAGGGTTCACCCACTTGCCCAGAACACAGCCTACTTGTGGCAGAGCTGGTTTTCTTCCTAGCTGTTCCAGTTGCGTAATCCTGGCAAAGCCCCATATTCTGGCCATTCACAAACATACTAGGATTTACAGGAGTGTGAGATAACTTTCAAATGTGAGGACTAATCAGGGGAGGCTTCCTGGGAGAAGTATGCTTCAGGTTGTCCTTTATGGACTGCCACAACACGCTGGACCCTGGGAACACTAACAGAGAGTGTTTGAGCCTTTAGTCATTTGGGTCCTTAGTTCTCTCACCTTTAAGATGGACATGACAGAATGGAGTGGCTAGAGACTAGAAGCTTTGTAATGGCTGGACCATTCTGCCCTTGGGGCAGCTTTTCTCAGTGGCCACGCTGCTCACATTTTGGACCTGCTCAATCTTTGTTGTGGAGGCTGAGGCTGCGCACTCTACGCCAGAAACTGAAAATATCAGGACATTTTTAATAATGAAAAAAAAAAAAAAAAAACCAGTCTCTGGAAGTTGCCAAATATCACCTGGGAGGACCATCACCCTAGAGAGAGCTCGTCCATTCCCTAACCTTGTTCTCACACATGTCAACATACTTCCTATAGCCCTCTCCCGGGACCCCGAGGCAGGCCAGCCTGGGCTACAGGGAAAGACCCTGTCTCAAAAAACAAAACAAAAACCGAGCAAGCAACACAAACCCCGCCCCCCATACTTTTTCCTTCTCACGGACCAAATGGTTTACTGGTTTATTCTTGTGTACTGCAGTGAAATCTCAGCACCCTGAGAGCTGGGCTCCTTGGCCCCTTTATTCACTGTTGTGGTCCTAGCACCCAGAAATGTGCTTGCCACACAGCAGGTGTCATGCTCACCTTTGCCGAATGAATGGACAAGATGCACGCAGAAGTGCTTTATGACCTATAAAACCCTCGACCAACAGAGAAGTGGGGGAGCCTCTAATTAAATCCACAGGGCCCTCGATCTGACACCGAAGCTGCCCGCCCCTGCCCCCTCCACCCCCACCGAGGATGGGGGAATCGGTCTGTAACAGCTGAAAGCAGATCTTCCCCCCCCCCTTTCCCTTTCTTGCTGAGACTTGAGTGGGAGTGAATGCGTCAGTGCTGGGGAGAAGCAGCCTTCCCTCTCCAGCTTGCATCTGCAGGTTTGTTACATAAAGCACTGAAGGACTGGATCGCTTGACACAGCCCCGCAGACCCACATCTGGGGCTGACGCAGATGCCCTGCACCAGCCATGCACAAGCCTGCAGCAGCCCTAACGCCCGAGACACCCCACGCTGGGGAGTTCCAGGGTGGACTAGCTAAATACCTCATTCAAGGGGGGAAGAGACTGAGGGTTGCATCATGTTGACCATCTCTTAGCAAAGCCAGCAGACACCAAACATTCAGGGTCTCCTTTCCAGCCTCTCCTAGGATTTCCCTCCAAGCTTGGTAAAAGTGATCTCCCCCCACCATACAGACACACACACACACACACACACACACTCACACACCCTCCTTCCAAAATGCCTCCTCCCTAGACACTGGAGCCTGCTCACCAGTGAGGCAATGGCTCATTGACCAGTATGGCAGTTGAAACCAGAGGAGTCAAGATCCAGCTCAGGGACACACAGTGAGATGATGGCAAAGCAGCCTCCATTGGATTCCTGCTTCCCCATGCTCACTGTCCCCACATATCCAGGCCTGGGGGCTAGGGCTCAGGCAGCAGAAAGCTAGGCACAATTTTATTCAACCACCCCCACTCCCCGCCCACTCACCCACCAGCTCCCTGTGACATGGTTTTTTAGTTCCATGGAGATATCCTGGAAGCTGGGGGTTGCTGATTCTCCCAGTTTTCGCTGTGAGCCCGAAAGGCAAAGTGCCACCTTCTCTGAGGGTCCACCTGCCAAATAGCCTGGGCCCTCCCTGAGAATGGAGCTCTGGAGGTCAGCAGAGTTGGAATGGCCAGCAGAGAGGGTGGGCAAGCCTGCTGCTCTCTCCTGCATTAAGTCCCTGGGCATCACCCTCTCCTGCCCTGCGAGCCGGCTGAGCGTCCTCAGGCGGATCTCTGTCTCCGTATCTTCATCTTCCCCATGCCCCTAAGAAAGTCTATACCTTGTACTACGAGGTACTGGACTCCAGAAAGCAATTCGGTGGAGATAAAATATTTTTCTAAGCTTGGGTTTGGAGGGGGTGACCAGGATGATGGAGGAGACCCAGACAGAGGGACGACATGCCAGTACAGAGACAAGCCCCATCCGAGAGCTGCAGTGACCTTGACCTTAACTACTCCAAGGGGCCTTGAACAGGGCAGGGGAAAGTCCTCACTCTTCATCCCTGGCCCCGGGCCAGGGTTTATACAGGTTATAGTTAACCTCAGTAGGAGGAACCAGCTCGCTTCCGCCAGCCAGGAGCCTCTTCAGGTTTCTCCCAGCCCTCACTCTCCTCTCCATATACCTTGTGCCTCCCACAGACCCTCCGAGCTGCCCTCCTCCCTCCATCCCCAGTAGCCACCGGGAAGGCCGGAACTAGCAGGGTCCTATTTTCCCAGGGAGATGCAGTCTGCACCCCAACACACCCTTCCCTTCTTCCCAAGGCAGGGTCGGGACCCACTCACCCGCCAGCAGGGTACACAGATGGAAAAACGCGGCCAGGCGCAGCAGCCACGCGAACAGCGAGGGAGCCATGGCTGGAGTGCAGGAATTCGGCGGGCCAGGAAGCTGGGCAGCGTCTGTAGCTCGGAGTAGTGCCTCCGCCGCTAGCCGCGGCAGCTTTTTATAATGGGGCTGGCAGCCTCCGCCCCCGGCTCCCGCAGTAGGAGGCGGTGGGAGGGGAGAAGAGCCTTAGCTGCAGCTGGATTCCTCCCAGGTTGCCAAGGAACCAGTCGCGTAGCACTTGAGCGCTGAGCTACGCTGCTGGAGCAGCGCGCAGGGAACCGAGGGGGCCGCAGGGGCACCTTTCCTGGAGAGCCGGGGTCTGTTTTAAGTGGACGCTGAGCCAGGGTCATGCAGAACGCTGGGCCCCGCCAGGCCAGATCTGCCAAGTCGTTTCTTGATCTGGGAGTAGACGGGGTGCAGAACCCACCTTCCCTCCTTAGAACCTCCAGATAAATTTCAGGCAGCGCATCTGCTGGGCTCAACACAGAGCCTGGCAGACAGTTTGCTGAAAGAATGATCCAGACCTGCCTCCTATGGACAGACGGGGAAACTGAGGCCCAGAGAGGGGAGAGACCATTACTAATCATACAGAGCTTCACTCTGGAAAATAAACTTACGAGGACCACAGAGGAGACGACCGACAGTGGAGTCAGGGCTGCCGAGGACATGGAAACCTGAGCCTCCAGGCCTCCTTAACTGTTGTTTGCCCACTCTAGCCTGTGCGTACCCACTGCCAGCTCTGCCTGTCTTCTGCCATCTGCGGGAGCAGCACAGCCACAAACTTAACATGGGAGCTATGGTCCTCTTGGCTTTCCTTGGACCCTAGTACAGAGCTTTAGAGAGAGAGGTCTTGCCTCCCATCGGGGCAGCTTGGCTGTTGTACAGAGAGAATCTAACTAACCCAGCTTCCGGCTCTGATCTTCCAGAAGTTTTCTTACTGAGTTAGGCAAGACCTAGCAGCAAGGTGGGGTGGGTCCTTGCTTTCACAACAGGCTTCCCTGAAGACGGGGGGGGGGGGGGGGGGTACAATCCTGGGCGTCTAGAACAGGCAGCTAGAGCCTCCCCAGCCTCGGGCTGGGAGTGAATTTGCGCTACTTTTTGGGCTGCCTGCCAGGGGGAAAAACCAGTTTGTCTAGAAAAGTGTCCCAGGCTATGTAGCCAGCTGGACTACAGCCAGCCTGGTCTAGGCTCAGCTGGGCAGACTGCAGCTGCCACACCAGAGGACCTCTTGCTCTCCCTGCTACCCACTAAGACGGGGGGGGGGGGGGGGGACGCCCCTGGGGGGGGTGGAGTTGGAGTTGGCTACTCATAGTGTTGGAGGTAGCTCCCTTGGTCAATGTCCACTGAGGCCCAGCCAACCTGCCCTCACCTGACCAGATAAGAAGCTAGGAAGCCTCATTTTACAGCTGGAGAGACTTAACAAGGGGTAATAAAAGTGGGGAGCCAGGCCAGGTATGGTACCTCATACTTGTAATCCCAAGGCTGAAGAGGCTGAGGGAGGATTGCCTGAAGTTCAAGTCTAGCCTGGGCTACAATATTGTGACTTTGAGGTCAGCCTGGCTTGAACAAATACAAAAAACAAAAGAAAACAAAACCAACAAGCAGAGGTCTAAGCTTCTTTACTCTGTGCTATGTAAGAGCAAGAGCAGTAGACAGCATGAGAAGAGGTGAAAGGAGAGAGGGCAGGGGCAAAGGGAGAGAGAAGAGGGAGCAGACCGGGGAGAGCAGGGGACTCCAGAGGAGCACTGTGGGAAAACAGTCCCTGCATTTCTGAGGGAGAAGGATCTGGGAATGAAAACGTGGGATCCCTGACTCTAGGGTGTGCTCCAGAGGAGAACCTGGAGGGAAGGGGAGGACTTGCCAGCCTGGCTCTGGGATTATTGCACAATATTGGAATTCTGTACAGTTAGGAAGGAGGTACTAACGGTGCTTGGAGGCACAGCTCAGCTGCACAGCACTCACCTAACACGCCAAAAGCCTGGAGTGTACCCCCAATACAAAACAAAACGTACAGGTTTTCCATGAGAAACCCGTGAAGTCATGACAACCAACCCAGGGTATAAGACTAGTATCTGTCACTGTGGTGGTCCACTTTATGGATGTGGCTGCTGAAGATAACTGGTTAGGAGGTAAAGAAGGATGGGTTGGCCCAGCTAGTTGTCTCTGGGGTCTGAGTCTCCACCCATTCGACAAGCAAGTGTCTGAATGCTCGCACAGTGGGTGAAAAGACAAAACCAACATTATTCTAACTTACTTAGTTGGAGGGACAGACAGCCCGTGTTCCCCCCGGGCCCAGCTTCTCGCCTACAGATGGGTGTTCCCAGCCGTCTCATCCAGGTTTCAAGGAGTAACTTTTGAGATGCTGTTTGGACACAGTAGCCAGGCTTTCAGGTCCGCCAGACACAGAATGAGCACAACTCTGCCACTCCTAAAGGTCTCCCTTGGGCAGGTTGCTAGCCCTCTTTGTACTGCAGTGTTCCCATCTATACAACGGGGTGCTAATGGTTACCTCAGCAAGTCTCTGGGGCAGTGAATGAAACTCAGCGCTTTTCTGGTGCTATTGTGTTAGTTTCGGTGTTAGAGTGCTGGTGTTTACAAAGCCCTTGTGTGTGGGTGGGACTGTGGTGAGACAAAGAGATTCAGGGATAAGCAAAAAGCCATAATTCTTGGCCTCAGTGAGCCCCAGCTCAGTAGCAGGAGGAAGATACAAGGGCTCCCAAGGACTCTCAGGTTGTGAGGCTGAGGCAGGAAGCAAGAAAGCAGTAAGCTGTAAGCATAGCTCAGTGTTTAGGGCACTTAGCTGGCATATGTGAGGGCCTGGGTTCCATCCCAGACTGTAAAAATAAATTAGACAGACAGGGAAAGGATAGGACCGGGGGCATGCTTCATTTGGTAGAGTGCTTCCCAAATCCCTGGGATCCATCACCAGCATCACAAAACTGGGTGTGCTGGCCCAAACCCTTATTTCCAGTGCTTGGGAGGTGGAGGCAGGAGGATCTGAATTCAAGATCATTGTCATCAGCTACACAGCCTGAGACCCAGTCTCAGGAGGAGAAAAAGAAGAGGGGGAGGAAGAAGAGGAGGAGGGCAAAGGAGAAGAAGAAGAAAAAAAGGGGGGAGAAAGGAAGGAGAGAGGATGGATTCTTAACCCCAAAATAAGCAAAGAAAATTTGGTTCCTCAACCATTTTTTGAGGCATTTTAAACATTATAGAAGACAAAATGGCACGAACAATTTTTATAGTCCAATGATTCAACACTCAACATTTTTCATATTGGTTTCATCTTTTCTTTTTCTTGGCCAAACTATTGCAAAATGAATTCCGACTGCTTGACATTTTGCCCCTAATAGACCAGTGTGCACTTCCGACTTCATTTGTAAGTATAATACAATTACAATTCGTCCACCTCACAGAATCAGCAGTGACCCCCTTGTGTCTTCTAACACCCGGTACACATTCCAGTTTGTCCCAAAATGTTTTCTTCTTTCTCCTTCCTTAGGTCAAAGCCTTTTCTTGATTTGTCTCTTTTTCTCTCTTTCTTTGTTTTAGGATTTATTTTTATTATGCGAATGCTGTGTGTGCCACCTGTGTGCAGGCCCCTGTTGAGTGTGTGGGGGTTATGGTAGCTTTTGAGCTGTGTGATGTGAGTTGTGGGGACTGAGCCCAGGTCCTCTGCAAAAACAGCATGCTCTTGACTGCTGAGCCATCTCTCCAGCCCTTCCTTACCCTCCCTGACAACCCTCCCCACTTCACAGGGTCTTGAACTCATAATTTACCTTCCTCAGCTTCACCACTGCTGGAATATCCAGGCTTGAGTCACAGTTGGCAACTCCCGCTTTTAGCTTCTGCTTTTAGGCTATCTTCTAGGAGTGTGCATTGCATGCGGTTATTTCCTGTTAGCGCTCACAGACCACATGCATGTTTTTATTTTTATGACATCGACCTTTCAAAGAGTCAAGACCATTGTTTGTACAATGTTCCTATTCTCCCTTATCTAGTTACTTCCTTATGAGTCACCTAATTTTTCCCTTATCCTGCGTGCTTCCTATAAAGCGGAACTTAAAGCAACATTTTTGGATGAGGCCCAGAATTCAAGGCAAGACGCTGGTGTGAGTAATTCTGTGAGGCTCACACGAGCAGGGTGCTTGCTTTTCCTTTTGATGGAGTAGATGGAGTGGCAAGTGAACGGCTTGGTTTTGCTGTAGACGTACTATTGTCTTCTTGTGATGCACAAACTTTGGGGAATGCCCTAACCCCACAATACACACACAGGCAGCTTGTTTGTTTGTTTGCTCGTTCATCCATTCATTTTTCACTTGTGTACTCCAGGCTGTGTAGAACTTACTATGTAATCCAGGATCGCCTTGAGTTTGAAATCCTTCTGCCTGCACTTCCCTAGTGTTCGGTGATGTCAGACTTATGGGCAGTGTTCTAACCAAGTCTCCAGGCAAGGGAAGAGCCTAATCCAAATGAAGGTGCTAGCCCCCTTCATAACAAGGAGGATATCTACACAGGTGGCTCTGAGGGAGGGGCTCAGGGAAGCTGCAGCTGGACCATAGCCAAGTGATGCTGAGGAAAGCTAGGGTATGTGGCTGGGGTGAGGGTGGGGTATGAGGGTGACTTTGAGCTAAGACATGACTAGGGAAGCAGTTTTCAATTGTGCAGCATGAGAAGGGAAGGAGTCCTTCAATCACACTGAGGGTGACTAAGACCACCCAGGGGTCACAGCCTTTTCAGGCTCCCTGTGTTCCCCACCCACCCTCCCAGGCCTTCTCCTTTTACTCCTTCTGGCCAATCAGGGGGGGCATATCTCCCCTCCCTGCCTCCAGCTTTGCCCTATAGACTTGTATCTTCAGGAGGCTGTTGACTGTCACGACTATGCCTCACCTCAACCTCCTATTCTTATTTTCACCTCACCTATTAACTTATTTGTATAAAATACACATTTTATTCTCTATCATTATACAGTGGGATATTTTCTGTGTGAGAGAGACAGGGCCCAGGGCTGTGGACTGAGCTGAAACCCAGGACCATGAAGTGTTACCCAAAACAACAGACAGTACTTGTTGTTACCGTTTCATTTCAGTTGTTGAATGCTGCTGCCATATTAATCATGAAGATGGTTTGGTGAAATTGTGATGC